CTCTCTCTTGACATAATTGGAGTGTGACTAGACAAAAATTAGTTGCTTTAGAATTTATTTGTAGTCCTTTTTGAGCACCCTTAGAGCTGTTAGCTCTGCTCCATGAGAATGTTTTCTTTTTTTATTCTTCTTGCAGATTTCCTTCCTCTGAAATGCGATGCATGTGGGGAAGTCTTCTGTAAAGATCACATCCGTTACGATGACCACAAGTGCAGCTCTGCCTACAAGAAGGTAAGTTCCTGTCTATGAGTCAGGAATTCACCCTGCAGAATTGCTAAGTCATTTATAAAGGCTGGTCTGAAACTTGACATGTGGTTTCCATAAAAACGGATGGGAGAGCCACAAGATCCAAGTTAATGACACATCTGAATTTCAGATATATAGAAACGTGACATTTTAGAGCTTAGTACTGCTAGATTCTATTTTCTTTCACTTACACTGCAGCTTCCCAGAGAGGACTGCTTTATATTTTAAGTAATGTATTGTGGCCTAAAACCTTCTGCAGTCCAAGTTCTTTAAGTTGAAGGACAGCAAACATGAAACTACAGAATAGAATAGAGTGAGGCCAGACTTGATCTCTAGCCTATAATTGGGCTTTGATGTGTTCAAAGGCTGTAATTCTAGAAAACTCAGAAGGATATTTAGAGTCGACTTACCAAATATGTTGCTATAAATTGATTTGCAAAGCGTGTCTGTCTATTTTTTGGGTAGTGATTTGCAGTTACTGTTGGGAAGTGTATCTTTAAAAGCATTAGTGAATGAGAACATGAAACACCTGTTAATACACTTCTGTCACCCATGGGTAAGGGAAGGGAAAGGAGAGAAAAATTGAGTTGGACTTCTAATGTTTGGACCTGATTATCTTCAAGGTCTTTTCCAACTGAAATGATTCTGTGATTCTGAACTGTGTTGTGTGTTCTTAGAATGTGCAGGTCCCAGTGTGTCCACTCTGTAACACACCTATCCCAGTGCAGAAGGGGGAAATACCAGATGTTGTGATTGGAGCCCACATGGATAAGGACTGCAAATACAATCCAGCACAGCAAAAGAGGGTAAGGAAACTGCTGTTGTAGTCTAAACTGCCTTCCTAATGCTTGTGAAGTTAGGACTTCTGACAGCAGAATGTGTAGAAACTCGTTCTGTTTCATCCTAATCCTAAGGGCTCTTGAACATTTGTCCTTCAGCTTGGTCATTGCTTGGGAAGCTGCTCACAGAAAGCAAACATTGCCAACTTCCTTTCCTCTCTTATTTAGATCTTCACAAACAAGTGCTTAAAGCCAGGCTGCAAAAGGAAAGAGATGATGAAGGTGCTTTGTGACCAGTGCGGCCTCAACTTCTGCATAAAACATCGGCATCCCCTGGATCACGACTGCAAAGGGAGCAGCCACCCCATCTCCAAGGCAGGGTAAGCTGTACTTAGGGTACTTCAGCTCAAGCTGAGATTTCAGAGCTGGTATCAGGTTGGTGGGGAGCTTGGACAAATAGGGAATTGTCCAAACTGTCAATAAAATAGCCATGATTCCTCTTGCTATCTCCAGCTTAATTTATGACAGTCTTTGAGCAAGGAGAAAAGCTTGTAAAATGCTTTCCTAAATTCTTCCAAGCTTACTGGTGTCAATCTCTCCTAATTAAGAATAGGCACTGGCCAACTCAAGTTCCCTTTGGATCAAAATACTAGAATCCTAAAGCTATGCCCAGCACCTCGAAGTAACCAAAAATAATCAATACACTATGAAGCCAAGTTTAAACTTAATTGTAATAAAAATCTGTCTCTTGCAGGCAGATGTACCTTCATTGTTCTGTGCAATAGGACTGTGAGACTTGTGTGACAGATGCAGATGATTAAAGAGTGGATGAAAGAGTGAAGCTACAGACAGTGCATAGGTGCTGAGCCTGGTTGTGTTTGTTTGTAGATATGCAGCTCTGATGAGAGCCTCTCACACTGCCCTCAAATCCCCGGGAGCAATTGGAGTGCCATCTAATGGGAATCTTCAGCACAACAGGTATGAGCTGTCAAAGGGGAAAAGACAAATATTGCTTAAAAATAGCCTGGTGTCAACATGGTGTAGCAGTGCCACTGTCATACCTCCAGCTGCTCTAGAGTTGGGAATGCAGTAGAGGGGTTCTGGCAGCACAGGTAAATCTCTGCTTCTCTATACTGAGTGATTAAAGTAGCTAAATAGACAGAAGCATCAGGACATCAAATTGTTGTAACTGCAGGTTGGTCTCCCACCTGCTCAGAGTGAGGCTTGGCCAAGTTCTGGAAAAATGGTTTGTCATCAGAGTGCTGAGGAAAGCACAGCAAATACACGAATGAAAACAATGGCCCAGGCTCTTCCCTGGCATGTTATATCTCCTTGTGAATGAAAGTTCTAGTTGTGTAACCCTTACAGTGCATTCTTATGTCTTTCAGGTGCAGGTAGTAGAGGCTCTTCATATCTGGATCAAACCTCTGTCTAAACTTAATATTTTCTCTATCTTTTTAAATTTTTATGCCATTAACTTATTTTTGTATCAGAATGTTTTGTGTATTCAATAAACTTTCCAAGCCAATGTTATTTGTTCCTATATTTGGAATAAGAACTTTAATACTATGAAAAATATTTGATGGAGGAAACTGGGGAATGGTGGTAGAAAGAAGATTACAATTAGTATGAAACACAGCCAGCTTTGCTTAGGTCATGCAAAGTCTGAACTATGAGTTCCCCAAAATGAAAATCTGAAATACAAGCTGCTCTTGTATGTCTCAATCCCTTTGGAAGTGATCTAGCACACAGTGCAGTGTTCTGTGTGACAAACAACATCAACATGAAGCAAGTTTTATATAAGCTGCCTCTTGGTTTCTGAATGTCATTAGAAGTACTTGATTTATAATCCATGCCTAGTTTTTCTAGGCCCTGCCTGAACAATTCACTCACTGAAAGCTGGTGCTCACAGAGGCATGTGCAGTATAATTCTTCATCATTTATTACCCCTTAGACAGAAATCTACATTTGCAGGGGTGTATTTTGCAGCTGGGGGAGGGGGAAAGGAAGCCAGAGAAAGTAGCATTAACTGTGTCTCATGTAATGAGAATGAGGCCAAAATGCAGCACTGTCTGGGGAGGTTACTCTTGCTATCTTCCTGAAAAGCTTAAACAAATGAAGCCATAACAGATAATGCTCCATCTATTACCCTGATCAGCTGTCCTGGCTCTTTAAAACTGCATGACCATCCAGCTGCTTTGCTTGAGGCCTGAAATATTGTAGGTTGATGAGATGGAAATGTGCTGTTAATGAACAATGCTAATTCCCCAGCTGGGATCTAAGTAGACCTCTCATCCAACTAATTGTGAGAAAAATGCCAAGGCTTACTGATGTCAGGGGGTCAAGACCTCAATTTCATGTGTGGCTGGAGCCATTCCTCTGCAGACTGGAGCTGCTGGGCTGGAGTGTTGGCTTAGGACTAACTGGAGGGTAATTGCAGTCCCTTCAGTCCCCTGCAGCTATGAGTGTCCAAGGCTCCTCTGCTGAGGTGGGAGGGTGAGCAGTTGGCAGAGCAGAGGGTGCTGAGTTCCTTGACCTGGGAAAAATAATCTTTGATGATACTGTGAGAGATGTGAGCGTAAGTGCAGTTAATGCCTGTGCTTTGTGCAACCTTGAGGGGCACTGCAGTTGTGCAAAGACTGTTGTGCCTCTTATTCTCTTTGACTAGGTTTAATTCTTGGAGTACAAAGGCTGCCTAAGGAGGAAATGTGGATTTATGGCCCTTCACAGGGATGGCATATAAGCAATCAACATCTTGAGTTGTAGGCCTTTCATAAGAAAGGGAAGATGTAATTTCTGGCCAACACAGAACAAATATCAGTGCTATCCCATATTAATGTTTGGCCCAATGTGATTTTTTCTTCCTGGAGAAATTTTTGGAGATCACTGCTAATTGGCCAAACTGAATATGTAATGTAGGTATGAGTTACCACTGTTCATTCCATTTAATCTAGTTTTATGCAAGCATGCAGCCAAAATTGTGATTTGACAGTATCTGTAATACTGTGTTTAACCACAGGATGTCACAATAGGATATGCAATAAAATGATCTTTATTTTAGGGAGTCTAAACATAGATGACATGCTTTCCCTATTCACACTGGAGCAAAAGCTTAAATTACAACTTTAATTTTAGGTGCCACCACCTACTGATTATTCCATGTGCTCTAACGCCATAACTCTGCCCTAGCACATTGCTATGTTTTATATACATTTTGTTTTATATACATTCTCTATATATTTGCATACATTTTATACTTTTTTTGTATAATTTATAACTGGCCACCCATTTCTCAGTGGTGCCATGCACCCCATTGGTGGTATGGCAAGGGGTTTTTAGGGGGAGCAGAAGGGTGGAGGACATGGACCAGAGCCAAGAGGCTCTGCCCAGCCCAGCAGTGATGGGTGGGGGACGGGATGGCACCTCACAGTTTGGGGAGAAGGTGGAACGGGCAGAATGGTGGAAGTTTTGGACGGGAGAAGGATGCAAAGGTGCGACAGGATGCCTCTGCCCAGTGGGGAGCTGTTGTCACCAGCACCTGCTACCACATCCAGCATTTCATCTGGCACTGGGATCCAAAACTGTGTTTCAGGTTGTCATGAAAAAATTGCTTCATCTATGTGTGTGTTTGTACGCTGTATTCTGGTCCTTAAATTACCAGGGGGAGATGGAGATGTTTGTGCATGTGGTATTTATAGAAAATGAAAACATGGAAGCCAATTTGCTTCCTGGAAACCTTTTTCTCTGAGGGGTTTTGTCATCCCCTCAAACCGCATCATTGGCTTCTTCCCACGCATTCCCTCAGACCCGGTCAGGACACAGGTGATGCTGTCTCAGACACGGAGCCTTTAGGATCTGTGGGCTGAAGGGGATCATGGCCATTCTCCAGGGAGCCACATCTCCCTGTGTCAGCACGGCCCTGGGCCCCACAGGAGCTGCTGTGCCGACAGCACCGGGCTGGCTTCCATGGGTGTCCTGCACGGACAGTGAGGGGTGGGAGCAGTCAGGCTCTGGAGATTCCTGTCAGGCCCTGAGGGATCCCTGGCAGGATGTGAGTGGATCACTGTCAAGCCAACGGGGTCCCTGTCAAGGCATAGGTGATCCCTGTCAGTCCATGGGATGATCCCTGTCAGGGCACAGGGAATCCCTGTCAGCCCATGGGATGATCCCTGTCAGGGCACCGATGATCCCTCTGAGCCCAAGGGATGACCCGGATCCCGGGAATGACCCAGGCCAAGAGGCGGTGCCCTAGGCGGATCCCGGCGCACACAGATGACGTCACACCCCCGCCGAAGCCGGTGGATCGCTCCCCTGCACGTGTGTTCCCGGTGGGCGCTTTAACACCGGAGCGGCGCTTCCTATTGGCCGGCGTGGAGATTGGCGTGCCGGGAACCAACCAGAACCCTTCATTCTCCCCGCGTAGCCAATGGGAGGCAGGGGGCGGGCCGCGGCGCCAAGCGTGAGGCTCGTTGAATGTGAAGGAGCGGGAGGTGCGCGGGGACGGGCGGGGGCGGACCGGGACCTCCACACGGGACCGGCAGGTCCGGGGAGGGAGGAGGGGGAGCACCGGGGTGTCCCTGCGCGGCCGGGGCTGCGGGAGGGCTGGGGTGGCCCGGCCACATGCGCGGCGGTGGCTGAGGGGCTACTGCGAACCAGGGGTGCTGTGCTGGGAACTGAATGTGGTCGAGGTGTGTTGGGAAGCGATCCCGGGGGTCTGTGTTGGGAAGCAGAGACGGGGGTTCTTGTTGGGACGTGAACCGCGGGGTGTGTGTTGGGAGAAGTGAACCTGGGAGTGTGTGCTGGGAAGCATCCCAGGGCTTGTGTTTTGGGAAGCGAACCTGGTGGGGTCTGTGTTGGGAAGCAGACCCAGGGTCCTGTGTTGGGAAGCGGACCCGAGGGTCTGTTGGGAAGCAGCCTCAGGGGTTGTGTGTTGCGAATCGGTCCTGCTGGTCCTGTACTGGGAAGTGAACCGAGGGTGTCTGTGTTGGGAAGGGATCCTGGGGATTTGTGTTGGGAAACATCCCAGGGCTCGTGTGTTGGGAAGCAGTTCTGGTTGAGAAGTGAACCGGGGGATCTGTGTTGGGAAGCAGACTCAGGGATCCCGGCTGGGAAGCGAACCTGGGGTCGTGTGTTGGGAAGCCAGCGGGTGGGTGCTGGCTGTGTGGTGCCCTCCTGCCCGGGGCATGACCATTCCTGGCCTGGTCCCGGTTTCTCTAACTGAGGTGCCAAACCCATCGTTTGGTGGGTTCTGCTGTATTGGGAACCTACCAAAGCGTATTTGTGGGTTGTTTTATCTGTCAGCGTGTTTCAAGGTAAATATTTGTGATTGAGCCGACAGTTGCCTTTATGCTGTTGAACAGAGTGACGGTGTTGGGGCAGCTGTGGAAAGCCGCTTAAATCAGATTTTCTCGCAGAAATGGACTTACAACTAGACCTGGTTTCAGAACTGGGTTTTCTGCAGCTCCTGTTTGCCTTCACCCTTATGCCAGTGTAAAATTAAAGATAAAACTAATGAGGCAATTATTTAAGTTTTTTTAATCTATGTGAAAATAGAAAAGCTTGCAGTTTAAACAGAACTGATGGCTTAAAACTGTTTAGTGATCACATAGACTTATTTTTGCTTGTGAGTATGTGTGTATGCACACATATGTATTTTATTGAGATGACTGATAGTCACATTAATGTGTTTTGAGATGAGAGAGTTTTGATTGGTCTTATGTGAGGTAGACAGTTATTCAAACTATTTAATATGGTGCATTATGACCTGCAGAAAGCACAGCATCAGTTATGGGGGGTTTCTACCAGGAGGGTCAGTGAGGCATTTTCCACAACAGGGCCTCAGAGGAGAATATGTGCTGAGTTTCCTACAGGAGATTGACATTTGAGTTTTACAGTAGCTTAACTGTAATGTAAAGGAAACATGAAAAAATCCTAAAGGAAACATGAAAAGATCTCTAAAATGAATCAAAATTCAGCCCAGACATACATTTCATAGTTAAGTAGTCACAAATAATTCTCATACCAGTGTAATTATAGTATAACTGTCTGGATATGAGACTGGCATTTAATATTAACAAAGGTTCTAATTGCAGTGTGGTGGTTTCTGTTACAGAACAATTCTATTTCAGAATGCCGAAAATGAGTGTGGAAAAAAAAGAAAAGAAGGCAGAAAAAAGAAAAAAGCTGAAGCAACATGTGGCCCAAAAGGAAGAGCTGGAACCAGAAACTGAACCAGTGAAGAAGAAGAAGAAGAAGCAAAATCTGCAGGTTTGACTATTTAATTCAGTAAAATATGGATATATTTTTTTGTATATTCAGTACTGAACCTGAGTGTACTGTTTGATTCAGTTGCAATAATTCCTTGGATCCAGTACGCCTAGAGTGAAAGTTAAAAGGAAAAGCTAAGCTAAGCCAGATGGGATCTCTGTTTGTTTTGGATGCTTCTGTGAAAGACAGAGAATGGGTGAGAGAATGTGGGTGAAAGGGGAACCAAGTGGCACCGAGCAACTGTCATATGGCAATATCGACGCAGC